GTGGTTAGGCAAGACTCATGCTCTGTCAGTCAGAGCCTCCCCCTCAGCGATGTCAAGGCCACGTGCTAGGAGCTTGCACTAGCAAAGCAAACACAACCAACCAGCACCCACCAACACTCCCCCCACCACGCCGCCACCTCTCCACCAAAGCTCCTTCAGCTGGAATTGGCCATTTTCTGTCGGTTTTGTTGCTCTCTTCCACTCACTATGACTTCCTGAAAGAGCAAAAAGCATTTTCGGTGAGCAGAGCCCTTTTGAACACCAGACATTTTAGACGGCCATATATTTCACAGAGAAGACGGGGAACAGAACACCCGAACACGCAGGATTTTACGTAATACATAGACTGCCTCTAACAGCTTGAGAAAGGATGGTATCTGGTGAGAGACTAAATATACAAACAGACAATGGCCAGATCATCTCTAGAAATAGCACTCTGACCCGCAACCTGCAGCAACCTGCCCAGGAAATGAACCCCCATCTCTACAATAACCAGTCCAGGAAGCCAGCCTGCTACAAGGGAGGCCGTAGGAAGCCAGATTGCTATTTCTAGTAATAATCCAGGAAACTAAGCAATCACTTCTGTAATAATTGGTCCAAAACGGCCAGGATTTTATTAATAACTGACAGCTTCCCTAATTTTTGGTCCTGCTTCCAACTTAGGATGAGCCAGAGAAAGCCAAATAGGCTCCCCGAACCGATCACACAGGATGCTCTAATTAGCCTGCCTCTAGCTTCCCAGCCTCCCATCAGAACATACCTGAAGACTTCCCTTTTCGCTACTCCAAAGCTTTCCCACTTTTCTGCCTGCCTTTGAGTCTCTGCCAAAACACAGGTAATGGTGGCTGACTCCTTGCTATAGTAAGTTCTGAAACCACTTTCACTTCTTCTCATTTGGTGGGTCTCGTTTATTTCCACACTGGACAGACAACATCTTTGAAAAATCTTCGCTGGGCCTATTATCTCCTCCAACCATTGATCTAAATTGTTTAGAGAGAGGGAAACATTCTGAGCTTATCCAGAAAATCTTGTTTATGCCTAGACAGGCTTCCATTGAGACACTAAGGTATTTTAAGTGCAGCTAATTTTTATTCTCTGTAAAGGAAAAGTCAAATTGGATAGAACCATCGTTTAAAAAACAAATTGGCTTGGAGTACCTGAGACATCTTGGTATGCTACTTAGGAATAAATGATGATCTGAACTGTTTGTTCCTTGGAAACTAGTAACGGGAGGCAGGTGGGCAAGAAAATATACCACAAACTGAGGGACACCCAAAGGAGGCATGAAAATAACAGATTCTGGAGATCAGCAATCAACAAATGAGGTGCATTTTTTCTTAACATAATTACTCTTCTTGACTGTCTTCTGAGTGCCGGGCAAAGCCCAAGACAAAAATAGCAGAGTGACTCAACAGATGGACGGCATCAACAACAGTGGGTGATCCAAGCAGGGAAAGGCTGGAGCCAGAAATGCATGCACCATGTCTCAGTATCAGAGCAATATCAGAAGCTGGGCATCAGAGAGCCAGGCTTTGAGCCTCAGGGAGGGGAAATGGTCAGAGCAGGGGAGGCCCCCTGCAGATGAAGACTGGGACACTCATCAGGTTACAGAGCACTGATGGGGGCAGAGCCCAGCTACAGGACCTGGGGACCCAACCAGGACTGGGTCTGAGCAGCAGTGCAGACCCAGGGTCCAAGACGGAAGGCCAATATGCAGGGAGGATGCTTGTTGGTGGATCTTACACGTAAGTTATCACCACTTAAATATCTTCTGTGTCTGGGCATGAAAAGTCTTGGAGTATCAACGAGGTCATAGCTGTGAGGAGGAGAGCATGCATACAGAGGGTAGAACTGGACTGAGCTAAGGCACAAGCAAGCACTCATCACCAGAGGCCAGTGGTTGGGCAGGGGCCTAGCACAGTTCTAAAGAAGGAGATGGGTCCAAACTTCTGATACTGACATCTTGACCACAGAGTCCAGATCAACCATACCCACTATGCACTCTCTAGAAAGTGTGTGGAGGTCAAAGCAATCAATCTGTGGGGCAGAGGATAGAGTTTCCAGTGAGGGTAGCAGAGAGGTGAAGAAGCCTTGTCTAGGCTGGGCTCCCTTTTCTGAAAGTGGATTCTTCAGCCCCAGTTCAGCCACCTGTCCCTGCCAGGGCCTGCCAAGATTACAGATTCATAGGCAAAATAAATGACCAGTGATGTTTTAAGTGACTAAATCCTGAGGCTGATTTATTATGCAACAATCAATAACGAGAACAGATTTTGGTGTCTGAATGCTGCTGTAACAAACCCCTAAAATCTGAGCCACTGACAGTGGGGACCAGGCGGCAGGCAGAAGCCTTGACAGACCTCAGTGAAGGCTAAAAGGGAAGCAAGAAAAATATAACTGGAAGCTGGAGGAAAGGGGACCCTTGCCATGTGGTAACAGAAAGTCTGGTATCATTATCAACTGAAGCAATAGAGAAAAAAAGTTCCTAATGAAACTGGTCATACAGCCAAGGAAACTCCAGGCAGAACACAGAAGTGCATGCTGGTGTCCTGTCACTGCCTATGATTCAGTGCAAGAAAAGAGAAGCGAGCTAAAGAACACACTGTTAGGGGCACCTGGGTGGCTCAGTCCGTGAAGCATCTGCCTTTGGCTCAGGTCATGATCTCAGGGTCCTGGGATGGAGCCCCACTTCAGGCTCCTTGCTCAGCAAGGAGTCTGCTTCTCCCTCTCCCACTGCCCTCCCCCACCCCCAGCTCGTGCTCTCTCTCTCTCTCAAATAAATAAATAAAATCTTTTAAAAAAATACATTGTTAAACATAAAGGAGCTAGGACTTGGTGAGTCTGAAAATAAAACCATTTCTTATTCCCAGTCTCTACAGATAACAAATGATTCTTAAATTAAGAGAAGGTCTCAGTCTATAGAGCAAACCAAGGAGTGAATTGAAGAAACTTTCAGACAGACAAAAGGCCCTCTGGGAATCTTAAGGGCAACCCCTAAGGCCCTCTTCATTCAAGAGGGCATCCAAGAATCCCGAGGGCATTGCCCCTCAGCGTTCTCACAGACAGACCAAAATGGAGAAAGACTTCTTTCTCTTGGAGAGGTTTGTCATGGCTTTTATTTAATGGAGTGAGGGTTTAGCGTTCTGAATATACTAATATACTAAGATAGGTCTGTCAAGATCCTACAGGAAGTGCCTTTTCCCTGCTCAGGTCCTCCCCGCTGTGGAGCTTAGCTCAAAAGGACACAGAAAGCACATTATGTCCAGAATGATGCCCACCCTGGCACTGGCACGGCCCGTGGGGACGGCCTGTGACTGGAAAGCCTGTTTGCCAACAGCCTACAGAATAATCAGGAAATAGGGAGGTTGAGAGGTGAGTTCCCATCCCAGTTAATTCAGGTCATCCCTCCTCCGGTCAGGCCTCACTGCTGTTCTCAGCTGATCAAAGAACTAAACACGAAACCCAGGCCCCATATGCAATATACCATCTTAAGAATACTCCCTGGGATTCTAAAAAGAGATTATTCACATTTGAGAGAGGGATAGCTCTGCTGCCTAAATGATACATCTCCTCCCTTGGGCTTAATAGAAACACACCCACCTGTATTCCTCAGGAAGATATATGGATTAAGAAAGGCAAAAACACTATCTCAGAAGCAAGATTATGTTCATCTTCTTTTTTTTTCTCTTAGCAAATGGGGACATAATTTCAAGTAAATGGCATGTGAAGCTGTTAAGAGCCAAGCCCCACATTCACATTTCGATGTTGCTCCGGTTGTAAATAATATGCCTGACTGCACCAGGAACCAAATTGCTCGTTAGCTGCCAACATTAGTTGTTTAATGATCTGAAGAGCAAGCAGAAGCTGCCAATTATTGTATTCCTTCTTAAAATGCCATTTAAAACCCATACATGTAATTATTATACCTTTTCGTTAAATTTTTATGATTCTTCTGAAGCTGATGAGCTGCAGGTTCACTCAACCTATAAAACTCAGAGAATACTTGGAGGATGTCATGACACAACTGGATTTAAAAATCCATGAATCACACCTGAACTTGAGCCCCTGCTCTGCCACCACTTAGCTAACTGAGTGAACTTAACCGAAGGACGTACCCCAGGGCCTCAGTCTCCTAATCTGTTCATTGGGACCACATAACTTTCCCTCCTACCTAATACAGCTGTTGTGAAAATGAAATAAAATAACAATACAGGGGAATGCTTAAAAGCACTCTTCAAATGATAGGGTAAGATACTATTTTCAGGGGTGCCTGGGTGGCTCAGTCGGTTAAGTGTCTGCCTTCAGCTCAGGTCATGATCTCAGGGTCCTGGGATCGAGCCAAACGCTGGGCTCCCTGCTCAGCGGGGAGTCTGCTTCTCCCTCTCCCTCTCCCTCTGCCCCTCTCCCCCCATTCATGTTCTCTCTCTCTGTCTCAAATAAAATAAAATCTTTTAAAAAAGAAAGATACTATTTTCAGAGACCTACTAATTAATGGGAAAATATATTCCTAATAACTACCAGATGAAGGATCAGTTATGATATACTGAGACTCCTCCACAAATCTAATCTCTCTGACTGGGATGTTAAATTGAGTACATCACCTTGTCTCATGTTATTCTCTCTCCCTATAGGAAGGGACTGACCATGTCCAAAAGTCTCCACGGAGCCTCTACAGACACATAATGCTATGTAAACATCTGCTAGAATTACATGGCATGCAGTGTACCTCTAGTCTCTTAAAGAAACAAACCAGAAGCCCAAAATATGGTACCTAGACAACTTATTTTTTTGTTATATGTGCACATGTCGTTTTAAGAGTCTTACGAGGAGGCCACGCTGCCCATTTAGTCCATGAGGTTTAGTGAGACTTCCCACAAAAGCTCCGAAACGTCCAAGTATTACATAAGTAACAGGTAGAATGTTACTCGAGGACAAAACCTGGATGTGGTGGCAACTGGCATTATTCCCCTCACCAGCTTCATGTCCCCGCTATGTCCAGTTACCTGACACAGCAAGCATTTTGGCTTCAAGCAACGCCGGGAGTTGGGTTTCAATGTCGTTTACTTTCTTCCTGAGAGTGCTACTGAGTCTCTCACTCATACACACCTAGAGGGAGAAAAACAGCCAGGACTCATCATTTACTCAGGTAAAAATCAGAAGGCAGTGGAGCAGCCAGGCAGAGATTTCTGGGTTTATAAGCAATTAAGAGGGGTGAGAAAGAGTAACTGAAGGAGAGTTACTTAAAAGCAAACAATGTAAAAAGAAAGCAAGAAAAGAGGAAAGAAGGGAGGAAGGAAGGGAGGGAAGAAGGGAGGAAGGGAGAGAAAGAGGGAGAGAGAGAAGGAGAGAAGGAGGGAGGGAGGGAGGGAGGGAGATGGGAGGGAGGGAGATAGGAGGGAGGGAGGGAGGGAAGGAGGGAGATGGGAGGGAGGGAGATGGGAGGGAGGGAGA